ATTATTTTGATTTCATGCTCTCCTACTCAAATGAATGGCTTATATATTTTGAGATGTACCTCATGGGCCTATCTTTTGATTACAAATCACATTTTTATTACCGTAGTGACATGGCTTCTGGCTGTAGGAGAGAGCAGATGGGATGATTAACAACTGCAGCTGTCCAGAAAATGACATGCATGCCATGAATTAGTTTCAAATGTTACATGCTTTAGCTTCCCAATATTTAATGCCTCTAAAATGTTAACAAATCACAATAGGAAGATTAACTTGGGCTGGGGGTATAGCTAAATGGTAGAATGCTTAAGTAGAATGCTTCAGACCCCGGGTTCAAGCCTCGTGTGTGTGTCTCTCTCTCTCTCTCTCTCTCTCTCTCTCTCTCTCTCTCTCTCTCTCTCTCTCATACAACACACACACACACACACACACACACACACACACACACACAGATTAACTTAAGGTTAACTTTTCTAATTTATTATTAGTTTTGTAGGAGTTTTGATTCAAATGGTCATCAACTAATATAGCCCAAGCTCTCTAAAACAGCTAAGGTTCTTTAAATATTTCTTGTGTAGAAACAACTGCTCCCAGTATTTCACATCCTAACTTAACCCTCATCAAAATAGTAGTAAATACTCACCCTCCTGTTGACATGTGTGAGTGTGCATGTTTGTGTGTGACTCTACTACATCCCTCTTACCCTGTTCATTCCTCAGGTCCCTATTTATTTAGTCTCTAGAGACAATGTCCCATAAGGTCCAAGGTGGCCTCTTGATACTCCTGCCTCAGTCTCCCAAGTGTTGCGATTTCACCATACCCAGATACATACTTTCTCCTTTTTGTTAGAAATTGAAGAAATGTAATTTACAGCATACTTTGTCCAAAGTTAAACTAGCAACACTGAGCTGGGTGGAGCGTGCCTATCATACCATTCAGAGGTGGAGGCAGAAGGGTTGATTGGAAGTTCAAGCCAGCCTTGGCTATATGAGAACCTGTCTCAAATAATAACAAATAAAAACCAGAGTTAAAATAGCAAGAAGTACAGATTAACATCAGACTTCAAAGCCTTTTTATCTTCTCTGTACACAGGCTGACCTTGAATTTGTGACAGAGTCCCCTGCCTCAGCTTCAGAGTAGGTGAGATTATAGGACAGCGCCAATAAGTACAACTTAATTTATTTTTCAGTGTTTTCCCTTAACTATAAGTGTGCAGAAGTGCTGCAATCCTCAATATCCTTTGGCTTACATCTAAAGCATTTATTAAAACATAATTTATAGTGTAGCAGTGATGGCTCAAGCCTTTAATCCCAGCACTTGGTAGGTAGAGGCAGGCAGATCTCTGTGAGTTTGAGGCCAGCCTGGTCTACAGAGCTAGTTCCAGGACAGCCAGGGCTACACAGAGAAAAAAGGGGGAAAAAAAGAAAAGAAAAAGAGGTATCATGCCTCCATCAGTTAACTACTGGATGAGCTCAATAAAATCACAGCCTTCTGAACTTCACTTGAGAACTCTAGGAAATAGCTTTTCAGTACCAGTTTTAGTTTTCAGGTATTTCATCCACCATCCCAGTGGTTACTAACAGTAGCTGTTCTCCACGATTTATGAGAGATTAGCTATATGAAGATACTTAAAAGAGAAAAAAAAAGACTACATTAGCAGCAAGTTTTTCTTTTTCAGAGTAATGGACATCATTAGTATGTTGTTATATTAGCACCACAGAGCACTTCATGAGCTGGGACTAAGGCCCTCAGTTTTTCCACACAGTAAAATTCTACTATGGTTATGGAAGAAATGCCTCCAAAATCTAAACTTTTTCTGACATAAAGAGCACCTCAAAGTTTTCTGACACATGCTGTATACAGAATTTAAGATTGTTTAACTCAGTCAGGTACTGTTTAGCCACTCTGAGGAGAAACAAAAACCAAGACAGAATGATAAATCCATAGACTCAGTACCAAAGACGTTCGTTTATAAGCTGGAACTAACTGTACCAAGTGGTATGAGTCAGTGTTCTCATAAAATAGCCCAAAACAGCTCTCCTGATACTGTTAACTCATGACATTCCACATATATAAGACTAGGGGGTTTTGCTTTGCCAGCAGCTAGCTCTCATTTTGAAACCTGGATATTTATTATGGGAGACATTTTCCCCTTTCAGATGTACGGATCTGTTCCCAAGCACTTTAACGTATCCTTTTACCAGAAACAAAGCTTTCTGGTCCGTGCAGTAATTTATCTGGCAGTCTTTTCTCAACCTGATTTTGGCTCGATTCTTCGAGAGATCAAAGGGGTCACAACCTAACTTTCATAAACTAGGATCTAGAACGGGCTTTTGGTAATGACCAGGAAGTGCTGGTCAAGAGGTTCAGTGGGCGGATCATGATCCTAGACTACCCTAGATCAGGTTTCCACTTTTGGAGCAATAAGGCCGGGGAACTGATGGTAGGCACCCCCTTCTCTTACTGTCATATTAAAGTCAGTCTGCCCAGGACAAAACCAGCAGAACTGCCAGGTGGATCCATGAAGTAACCACACCACAGGGCCAGAGGGCGGCCTACGTTGCTCTTGGCTATTAAGGATCCGCGGGGAAGCCACCACACCCCTCATCCTCTCTTCCCTCTCCGGCTTGGGCAGCCCGGCTCTAGGACTTGTTTCTCCCTTAGGGCCCTGGAGTCATTCACCGCTGACACCGGACGAGGACTTCTCACCAGGCCCACAATCCTCAGAGCTCTCGAACCCTTGATAAGCTTCTCTTCTATTTTGAGGGGAGCTTTCCTGTCTGTTGCCCCAAGGGTGGGAACTCACAGCTGCCGCAGCGCCAGTGAAAATATCCTCCCCCTCGGTGTCGCTGTCCCCAGCCTCGGGTTCTGACCCCCCGGCAGCCCCTTCGGACTCCGGATCCATGCCAGGGAAGGGCGGAGGGAGTCGCTCCGAAGCGCTACAGCCACCACCGCCCGACGCCATCTTCCTCCACCGGTGGCGGAAGCAGCAACAACAACTTTATAGACAGTGCTGCGAGCAAAGCGCTCCAGCTGTGAGAGGTGCGCGAGGGCCGTTACGGACCCCGAGGGACCAGAGGGGCGGGGCTTTGGGGGGCAGGCCCTTGGGGCGGGGCCTGGGCTGTTACCCAGCCAATCCGAGCCCAGAGCCACAACGCCGCACTCGGGCGGGCCGAACGGGCAGAGGAGGAGCTAGAGGCTACCGAGTTCCTCCAGGCCTTTGTGCCCTGCATAGCTTTATCTGTCACGCTTCTAAGGTTTTGTTGTAATAAAAAAGTCTGTGACTAAAAATGTTTGAAAACCTCTGCATGCCACCTGCTCACGCCAAGCACAGTGCTCTCACAGAGATTCAATAAATATTTTTGATTGAGGTCTGAAAAGACTGCAGGAAGTTTTCGCTAATTTATTCTTTGGACATTAATTCATTCAATATATACTGAGAATTCACTGTGAGCTTGGCACCTTACTGTGCGTTTCAAATACAAACATAAAAAGCTCCTGGCTCACTAAGTGCTTACAGTTTAACGAGGGAGGCAGTCTTGTAAATCAACAATTTAAATACAACTCGGTGTTACAGTGTGAAAAAAATAAAAGAGGTTATCGATTCTTTTGGGAGAAGTCAGGCTTCACACAAAGGGGAGATCTTAGTGCATTAAACTCGATCGTTAAGAAATTAAGGGTTTGGGGGCTGGAGGGACGGCTCAGCGGTTAAGAGCACTGACTGTTCTTACAGAGGACCAGGGTTCAAATCCCAGCACCCACATGGCAGCTCCTAACGGTATATAACTCCAAGATCTGATACCCTCGTATAAACATGCATGCAGGCAAAGTGCTAATGCACATAATTAACATAATTTAAAAAGGAATTTGAGGTTATTCTTTTGATGACTATGGAGTGAAATGGAAGAGATGACAAGGATATTGTTGCGACTGGACCAAAATTTCCTGGGAACTAATCATAGCTTGGTTGAGTCCAAGTCAACCAGAGTTTAAAGATAACATAGGTTATGTTATCATGGGATAATTCTGAATGATGATCCTTTCTTTTCAAAGGGATGAAACTTGTCACTAATATCACAAAGGTGGTTTGCTTTTCCGGTTGACAAGGTCTCACTTAGGCAGGCCTGAAATACTGTAACCAAAGTTGGCCACAAACTCATGGCAATACTCCTCCCTCGGTCTCCCAAGTGTTGGAATTACAGGCGCAAGCCACCATGCCTGGCAAAGTTGGTTGTTTTTAACTGCAAACTCCACATCAGGAGTGGATTCTTTCACAGACTGTAAGCTGCTTGACGGTTGGGAGAGTGTCTTGGCTTGTAACCTTTATTCCTGAAAATTAAGTGTTTGATAAATACTTGAGACTGACCCGGTGACTGGCACCCATCACAGCCATGAACGGAAGGAAGCTTAAGAGATGCTTTTTTTTTTCTTTCTTTTTTTAAAGAATGGTGGTCTCTAGTATCATCACTACACACAGTGAACACAGAGAAGGTTCTCCTGCTGTGAGGTAGTGGGTGGGTGGTATAAATATTCCCCATGGAGGGAAGTTGAGCTGGATTAAGTCTCTAGCAGACAAGAAAACCAAGTATTCCCCGCCCCTCCGTCACGCCTAACTATCACGGGTTTCCCCAAATATTCTCTTTCACCGCAAAGGAAATCCACTTCCGGCCTGATCAGGTAGTAAGAAAGATTTGATTGGAAGCAGCTTTCTCTAGGAAATAGCTGTGCGGAGTCTCCGTTCTAGGACTTCATCCAGCAGTAGCAACTTTGATCTCCTTTTCCCTACCTCTTCAGGATTCATCTTCAATTCTTCCTAGGAGCTGAATGGGGCACTTGGTGACGCTTAACAGTCCGTTACATGCCCCTCTGGATGAGACTACAAGTCACAGAATGCAGTTCGCCTCCGCTCAGAAAACCCAGACATCCCATCATGCAACGCGCTTAACGGACCGCAAGCGTGGTTTTTCCCGTCTCGTCGTAACCGAACTAAGCATGCTGGGACATGTAGTCTTTGCAGTTTATTTCCCTAGGTCCTTCGCGTTACTGTTTTGAGTCCCGCCTGTTGTCTGGTCCCCTAAACCTTTACACATGTCTTGGTTTATTTGAAGACCAGGAAGTTCATAGCTCCCGAGGACGGCTGCAGAAAGACGGTGGCTCGGTTGGGACAGTCGCCAGGGATGGCGGAACGTGAGGATGGAGCGAGTGTCCGGGCTGCTCTCCTGGACGCTGAGCAGGGTGCTATGGCTCTCAGGCTTTTCTGAGCAGGGAGCTGCCCGGCAGCCCCGGATCATGGAAGAGAAAGCGCTAGAGGTTTATGGTAATTTAACTTTACCCAGAGCAGCGTTTGGCGTTATTTGGAGAGACGGCACAGGAGAGAGGGTGGAGGAGGGCCTCACCTTTGGGCCGGAGTAGTGGACACTTGGGGTTTTGCCAGACCTAGAAGGAAGTGTGTTCTTCCGGGTCCCAAGTCACGCACTAATTTCGATTATTTTAGGACCCGGGCTATTCTTAAACCTGGTGCGAAATTGAGTCTGGAACTCATAAACGTTTCATCCCTCTGGTCTGCCCACTGCTCTAGGCACGTGTGGGCAGAATTAAGTTTACAATGGTCAGGGCGCAAAGCTGACCTGATTGCACTACTTCGTTAGTAACGAACACGCGCTCCTCCCGCCATTGCTGAGGCCACTGTTGGGTACTGGCTGAGTTGGGGACTGGCCCAAGGTCACAGCCACTCTCTTCTTTGACAGAGTTAGTAGGAAGTGAAGAGGTTGAAATAGACATCTCAGAGTGAGGCTTCAAATTTGCAATTCTCTTACACAGTCAAGATATTTATGTGTGTACGTATTCTCTCAGAACTCTCCACTTTGAGGGACTGTCTTCGTTGTACAGATAAGGCAGGGGGAGCAGTGGTTTTGCAAGTACCTGGAGGTCACATTGTCATTAAGGAACAGAGAAAACCAAACTCGTGATTCCAAATGTAGCGCCATGTTCTCTCCACCTTGGTCCTTGACCCGCCCACCCCAGCCCCTTCTGCCCCCTTCTCGACAACTTGTAGGATTCTTTTTCTGGGTCTGGGAGAAAATTCAGGGTCTCATGCAAGTTAGATGTGCTCCACCTCTAGCCTAGATGTAGCATTAAGATCTGGTCCTACAAATACAATTAGGGTAAGGATTATAGGCCAGGAAGAATGATTCCAAGAACAGAAAGAGCCCGGGAGCTAATCAGGTTGACTTCTGTCTTTGTAGAGGTAAGGCTGACAACCCCAGGCAGAAGATAATTATGGGTGTGCTATCTCCAGAAAACATTCCTGTCTTGCCATACTTCTATCTGTAGCATCTGGAGACTGTAACTGCAAGAAAGAAGATTCCAGTCCTCATAGTGAATGAAACTGAAACCTACATATGCAAATATATAGTATACAGTTGAAGGTCATAAGTTTAAGTAGGACATACCAGTGTTTGCAGGTGGAGGTGTGGCTGGCTGTTGCTTTAGATAATAGATTGGAATTGAATAATGAAGGTTTTTCTTTCTTTTTTTTCTTTTTTTTTTTTTTTTTTTTTTTTTTTTTGGCTTTTTGAGACAGGGTTTCTCTGTAGCTTTGAAGCCTGCCCTGGTACTCACTCTGTATACTAGTCTGGCCTCAAACTCAGATCCGCCAGCCTCTGCCTCCTGAGTGCTGGGATCAAAGGCGTGCACCCCTCCCCTTCTTTTTAAAGAAACCAAACTTCTCAACGCACTAGAAAGCTAGAGAGATGTTTAATGAGGGGATAAGATTTAATCTCAGGATTTAGAAGTGTTCAAAGATCTTAGTACAGCTTTTTACAAATTAAGCTTACATAGAGAAGCCTAGGATAGGAGAAGGAAAAACCCTTCCCAAATCTCATAATAACTTTCTCAGTGAAGGCAATTTTTATCCTCTTTCCTGTCTGTATTTTCAAATTCATTTTCTGTCTTATTGGTAAAGACAGATGATAGCCTGGAGAAAAGAAAGTTTGATTTATTTACCAGCTGTTCCTATGGTCACTGGGGAGGTATGTGTAATAAAACAGACCCCAGGCGCCTGAAAGCATCAAGCCCATCTCAACTAAAATCCTGCTTCCTGGGGCTGTGGTTAAGAGCACTGGCTCCTCTTCTGGAGGACTGGTGTTCAATTCCCAGCACCCACATGGCAGCTCACAACTGTCTGTAACTCCAGTTCCATGTAATCTGACACCCTCACACAGACATACATGCAGGCAAAACATCAACTAACATAAAGTAAAAGAAAATATTAGAAAAAAAAATCCTGCTTCCCTCCTCTGCCCTCACTTTGTCCTTATTAGCATTCTCTTTAATTAATTAACTTTCCTGTAGCCTCTCGGTGAGATGGCAGACAAGAGTGCAGGGTCTAGCAATTCTTTCTCTTCTTCAATATCTGTCCCTTCTGCTTCCTTTTACCAGCCCCCCTTCATAGTTCCCATCTCCTTTGTTCATTCTTCCCTTTGACCTAAAAAACATACTCAAATTTCCCTGTTTGTCAGGATTCTAGCCTCCACATAAGGCTTCAGGCTTGGCTGCAAGCGCTATCCTTCATGCTTTTTTTTTTCTTTCTTTTTTGAGACAGGATTTCTCTATAGCTTTGTAGATCAGGCTGTCCTTGAACTCACAGAGATCCACCAGTCTCTGCCTCCCGAGTGCTGGGATTAAAGGTGTGTGCCATCACCACCCGGCCCATGACCCATTTTTTATCTTAATACTATTCTCCCAAATACTTGAACTGAGTCATCTCCTTTTTCTCTCTGTGCTTGTCTTCCAGATGTAACAAGTTGCCCCGCCAGTCCTCTGAGATAACGTCGTTGAGTGTCCCATCTCTGTCCCTGTTGTATCGAGCTGATTTTAGGCCTAACTTTTCAGTGGCTGTCTTTAGCTGTGCTCTCTGGTTCTGGGTCTTGTAGCTGGTGTGAGCAAATTTGCAGCTGACAGTGCAGCACTGTCTTTCCCACTTCCTTGTTCTAAATCTTGAGGAATCCCTGTTCACTGTGGCTGGCTGTGAAAGATCCTGCTGGTTGGGCTCCACCCTTCTGTTCCACTCTTTCCTTACGCTGGGTTCCAAGCTGAGGAATGCCTGGTGGTTCTGTCCTCCAATTTAAATGTCAACCACCGAAAGGCTTAATCCCACCTTCTCTTCAGCCAGAATCCCCCTGGCGGGCCCTTGACATTTTCCCATTCATAGTCCCTTATGGTTTTGAATTAAGAAACTGGATATGGGCTAATAATAATCCAAGAAAATAGTTTTTTCAAAAGTAGGGGACATGTCTGTTGGGAAATTGGGAGTTGCTGAAATGTTTGTTTAAAAGAGAGTTAGGGTGGGGTGGTAGGGGCTGGAGAGATGGCCCAGTGGTTAGAGCACTCTGTTCTCGAAGAGGACCTGGGTGCACTTTCCAGCACCCACATTACAGCTCACCATTGTCCATGGATCTGAGGCCCTTTCTGGCTTCTGTGGGCACTGTGTGCACATAATGTACATACATATATAGAGGCAAAACATAACATAAAATCAGAGTAAATCTTGAAAAAGTAGTCAGTGCTTCGGTTGAGATGAGAAGACTAGCTCTCACTTAGGATACTCTAATTTAATACCTCGTCTCTGATGCCTTTAGATTTGATCCGAACTATCCGGGACCCAGAAAAGCCTAATACTTTAGAAGAACTGGAAGTGGTAACGGAGAGTTGTGTGGAGGTTCAGGAAATAAATGAAGAAGACTATTTGGTTATTATCAAGTTCACACCAACAGTACCTCATTGCTCTTTGGCAACTCTTATTGGATTGTGCTTAAGAGTAAAATGTGTGTGTGTGTGTGTGTGTGTGTGTGTGTGTGTGTGTTTGTGTCAGGGTCTCACTGAAGCCTTGGCTGTCTTGGAACTTGATTTGTATTTATAGACCAGGCTGGCCTCAAACTCAGGGATCTGCCTGTTTCTGCTTTCCAAGAGCTGGGATTAAAGGTGTGTATCAACTATGCCCACCATGTATGAATTCTTTTTTTAAATTTAATATATATATTAAATATGTACTGTGGGTTTTGTTTGTTTGTTTGTTTGTTTTTTGGGACAGGGTTTCTCAGGCTGGCCTTGAACTCAGATTCACCTGCTTTTGCTGGGATTAAAGGTATGCACCACTACCTCCCAGCCAACTAATTATTGTATTTTTAAGAAACGTTTTATTTTTGATTTTCTTTTTTTTTGGGGGGGGGGGTTCGAGACAGGGTTTTTCTCTGTGTAGCTTTGGAGGCTGTCCTGGAACTAGCTCTTGTAGACCAGGCTGGTCTTGAACTCACAGAGATCCTCCTGCCTCTGCCTCCCGAGTGCTGGGATTAAAGGCGTGCGCCACCAACGCCCGGCACTTTGTGCTTTTTCTAGACCAGCAGGAAGAGTTAAAGAGGCCTGGTGGTGGTGGCACACACCATTAATCCCAGCACTCTGGAGGCAGAGGTGGATCTCTGAGTTTGAGGCCAGCCTGGTCCACAGAGCAAGTTCCAGGACAGCCAGGGCTGTTACACAGAGAAATCCTGTCTCAAACAAACAAAAACAAAATCAACAACAACAGAAAAAAAAAAAAAGAGAGCAAGATAAAGAGATAATGGAAGTTTTTTCCCCCCGTCACAGGATTGTGCTTAAGAGTAAAACTTCAGCGGTGTCTGCCGTTTAAACACAAGGTAAGAAAGCTTGTTATTATCTTAAACCCAGAGCCTCACATGATCTAGGCCAGTGTCCTGCTGCTGAACCATGACCCTACTCCAGATTGTCTTTTATGACACTTGTTAATATATAATCCACACATCATGGAAGCCACATGAAGTGGACAGTTTAGTGGTTTCTGGTAACTCCTACAGAGCTCTGCAACTGTGTCGGTCAGAGTCACTTTTAGAACATTTGCATCGCCTGTAAAAGAAATCCTGTACCCAGGCAAGTGCGGTTATAGATAAGTGTAATGCCACCACTTGGGAGGTTGAGATGGGAGCTAGCCTATATCAAAAATGGAAATGAAGGAAGGAAGCAAGCAAGGAAGCTGGTCAGTCAGCCTAGAGTTACTAGCAGTAACTACTACTCTTATGCCATCCCCTCCTCTGTACTGGAACAACCATTTCCTGTCTCCATGATTTGCCTTGGGGCATTTCATTTTAATGAAGTTTAATGACGTGGATTTTTTGACTTAGTATGTTTTTGGTGTTTATGTTTTAACTTGTATAGGTGTTTCATTCTTCTGTACTATATAATATTCCACTGTAGAGAGACACCTTGTTTTATTTTACTTATCAGTTGTAAGACATTTGAATTGTTCCCTCTTGTTAAGTTAAAAATATTGTTTTGGGGCACTGGAGAGATGGTTCAGTGGTTAAGAGTACTGATTCCTCTTCTAGATCACCTAGGTTCAATGCCCAGCACCTACATGGTGGCTCACAGCCATGTGTAACTCTGGTGGTTCTTCTGACTCCAATGGCCATGCTGAACACACACACACATGTAGGTAAAACAGTCATACACATGAAATAAAATAAATAAATCTTTAAAAAAAGTATAATTGGCCGGGCAGTGGTGGCACACGTCTTTAATCCCAGCACTTGGGAAGCAGAGGCAGGCAGATCTCTGTGAATTCAAGGCCAACCTGGTCTACAGAGTGCCAGGACAGTCTCCAAAGATACAGAGAAACCCTGTCTCAAAAACAAAACAAAACAAAACTCTCTCTCTCTCTCTCTCTCTCAATATATATATATATATATATATATATATATATATATATTTTCCCCAGTTTTTCATTAATATGATTTATGGCAGTATACCCTTCCATTACTACCCCTCCCCTCCCATCACACATTCTTGTTAGCTAGAGTCCATTTTGGCAGCTTCCCAAGTGCTAGATGCTAAGCACCATCAGCACACTCGGTGATCTTGACACAGAGTACAGAGCAGACATTTCATAGATTGTCTCTCACATTGAGTTTTCAGATGTTTCATGATTAGATTGCTATTTATTTTTGGCAAGAAAACAGAATAAACATGCTGCTATTACCTGACATCAAGAAGTGATAGTTTTAGTATTATTGATGCCAATTGCCTCCGGAATAAGGAGGTATTGCTTGACTCTTCATCTCTGTTTGTCACTATGTATCTCTAGCTGTCCTGGAACTCACTATGCAGACCAGGCTGGCTTCAAACTCACAGAGATCCACCTGCTGCTGTCTCTCAAGTGCCGGGATTAAAGGCATCTGCCACTACATCCAGGCTATGGCTATTTCAGAATAATGAGTCATGTGTAATTTTTAACCAAAGTGAAGGAATGGAGAGTGATACTCATGGGTTCAGTAAGTGTTCTGTGCCACTGGGGGAATCTGGACGGTGGTCTTTCTACTTGTGTGTTTGTGTGAGTGAGGATACATGTGTTCCATGGCACATGTGTGGAGGTCAGAGGATAACTTTCAGGGAGTTTCTTTCCCTCCATGTGGCTCCCAGGTATTGAATTCAGGTCATCGGGCATGCATGGCAAGCACTTCTACATACTGAGCCGTTTTGCCAGCCCATGTTTTGTGTTTTTAAAAGAGACTGAATGAGATGGTCTCTAAGGTCCCTGTTAACTGTAATAGTTCTGAGTGTTTTCCACTCAAAAAGCGTTGGTCTCTCTGGTGATTCTGTGCATCTGGGCACTCTGCACAGGCTTGCCTCAGCCAGAGGATTTGCAGCAGTTTTGTGGTTGTATCAAAAGCTCTTGTGCTTAGGAGTCACTAATTTGTGGGGCCAGCAAGTCAAGATGAGATGGCTTTACTGGTATTACAGTTGGAAATAAATTCAGCAAGCTAATAGAAGGAAAGGAGGATGCAGAAAACCTACATATTTGTCTCATTTTTGTAAAACAGTGACTGTGTGTGTGCATATAAAATGTGCATAAGAGAAAAAAATGTAAGAGTGTGAGTGTAGAAAGGAGGAAGGAAGAGATTGCACTAGGTTGTTGATATGGCATCCCTGGGAGGTGGGACAGACGGTGAATTAGATACAGATTTGGGAAGAGAATGAGGTTTGGGCAAAGATCATGTAAGATCTCTTTGTACAAAACTGTATTCAGACAGAAATCTGTAGGCACGCCCCCTGTAGGCCAGTTGATGGAAATACTACTGTCAGCTCCATCCTGTTTGGGTCTCATACTAGAAAGAGGGTTTGGGCTCTCATCCCTAGATCTCTGGGTATCCCTACACACCCCTCATCCTGAGCTCTTGGAATGTTCTGATGTTTTGCTTCTGTCTCTTTCCAGTTGGAAATCTACATTTCTGAAGGAACTCACTCAACAGAAGAAGACAGTAAGTGACGCCAAATGTCTTTGCAAACAGCTGCAGCTAATGCTTTTGTCTTGGGTACTAGGTTTTCTGTTAGCCAATTATCTATTGGGATGCCTGCAAAAAGAGGGAATACCATGAGTTATGATTTTCACAGGTGGGGAAGCACAGACATTCAAAGAAAGTCATTTTCTACCAAACATATCTGTAAACATATGCAGCTAGAGACCTTGAGCTCTGAAGGTTTGGTTCTGTTCTGACAGTCCCTGAGCTGTGTGTGGAAGTTGAAACCGGGAGTCTCATAAGGGAATCTCAGGGCTGGGGCTGTCAGAGTTAATGTGCTAGGATGGGAGTAGGGGCTGACTGTCTATGGAGGACCCCTAATCTGCAGAGAGAAGTGAACCAATAGTCATTTGAAAACTGTAGAGGTGGGATTTGAAAACAGCAAAAGACAAAATGTTTCCTAATTAGTTATGTGGTACATGGGAAACAATTTTTGTTTGTTTGTTTTTCGAGACAGGATTTCCCTGTGGCTTTGGAGACTGTCCTGGAACTAGCTCTTGTAGACCAGTCTGGTCTCGAACTCACGGAGATTCCCCTGCCTCTGCCTCCCAAGTGCTGGGATTAAAGGCGTGCGCTAACACTGCCCAGCTGGGAAACAGAATTTTAACAAATGACAAGAACAAATAAAGAGAAGAGCTTTAGAGCCAGGCAGTTTGAGACCAGCCTGGTCTACAAGAGCTAGTTCCAGGACAGCCTCCAAAGCGACAGAGAAACCCTGCTTCGAACCCCATCCCCACCCTCACCCCCCAAAAAAGAGAAGAACATTGGAATTGCTTGTTTTTGCCAGGTATGGTGGCTCACGCCTCCAGTCCCAGTACTCAGGAGGTAGAGGCAGGCTGATTTGAGTTTGAAGCCAGCCTGGTTTACATAGTGAGTGCCAGGCCAGTCAGGACTACATGGTAAGACTCTGTCTCAAGTAAATAAGTAAATAATAAAAATGTTTGTTTAGCTTTCATCACTAGATTGATAGTGTAAAGAAGAGCAGAAAGGAGAAGAGAGTGGTGATGGGTAAGAGTGAGGTGGTAGATCATGAGCCCAAAAGGTTCATACAGGGCTGGGGAGAGACATATCAAAATTTATACTAGAAGAGAGATGCAAAGAGAATACTTCAGAGGGACAGCCCACCAGGACAGTCCTGGAAGCCTGTTAGGTACTGTCAGGAGATCAGTGAAAACCATGTCCTAGTTTTGCAGTTCCCTGTGGAATAAATGCACCAAACCCTACAAACTCAGGGGTTGTAGCTCTCTATTTATTTTTATTTTATTCATGTGGATGTTTTGCCTGCATGCATGTCTGTGCACCCGATTGCATGCCTTCAGTGCCTTCGGAGGCCAGAAGGGGCATCAGACTCCCTGGAACTGGAGTTGTAGCTGCCATGTGGGTTCTGGGAATCAAAGCCAGGTTGTCTGGAAAAGCAGCCAGTGCTCTTTTTTTTTAAGATTTATTTATTTATTATGTATACAGTGTTATGCCAACATGTAGGCCTGCAGGTCAGAGAGGGCACAGATCTCATTGCAGATGGTTGTGAGCCACCATGTCAGCCAGTGCTCTTAAATCTCTAAAGCCATCTCTTTAGTCCTCTATTTATTTTAATTATTTACTCTTTGTAGTGCTGGGGAACCTAGGGCTAGTCAAGTACTATATCATTGAGCTACATCCCCAGCCCATTTTATCTACCTACCTACCTACCTACCTATCAATCTATGAGACTTGGTCTTACTATGGAGACCAAGCTGGCCTCAAGCTCACAAAGATCCTCCTGCCTCTGCCCCCTGAGTGCTGGGTAAAGGTAGGCATCACCATGTCTGACCAAAACACTTACAATTTTTGCCATGTAAACAGTACTGTGGTTTAAAAAACAGGCTTAAGTGGGGAAAACAAAAGTTTAGAATTTCACTCTGAATATAACTGTATAGAAATATGTGTATTGATGATACTAAGAAAGAAATGAGAATAGCAGTTGGTTACGGAGTAGTAGGGCAGTAGAGAGTGTTTTCCTTTTGAGACTGCTTTCCAGACCTTAGACATAGCAGCAGGTAGGGCTAGAGAGCTGGCTCAGTGGTTAAGACCACTTGTTGCTCTTCCAGAGGACTGGAGTTCAGTTTTTAGTATCACACCAGGCAGCTCACACCCACTTAGAGCTTCAGCCCCAGGAGATGCAGTGGCCCTATTCTGGCCTCCATAGGCACTTTCAAGCAGTGCTCACACCTGTGTGTGTGCACACACAAAAGAAAAAAATCTTAAACTGAATGATGAGTAATTAGTAAAAGTTCTCAATAATTAGTTGTAAGTTCTCAAGGAGTTAAATTCTTTGTTTTGGCAGATGCTAATACAAATGCTGTCTGGTCTCTCTGTTGACACAGTTCTGTTAACTTTGTCCACGTGTTTTGCAGTCAACAAGCAGATAAATGACAAAGAGCGAGTGGCAGCTGCAATGGAGAACCCCAACCTACGGGAAATTGTGGAACAGTGCGTCCTTGAGCCTGACTGAGACCGTCTTAAGAGCCAATGACTTTTAATCAATCGTTTGATCTGTTTAAATCTTTGTAAAATGTAGAGGACACATGTTGAATATGTAGGTGATTTGTACCTCAGAGCATTTTTTTTTAAGTTTTTTTTGTTGTTATTGTTTTGTTTTGTTTTTCAAGACAGGGTTTCTCTGTGTAACAGCTATGGCTGTCCTGGAACTCACTCTGTAGACCAGGCTGTCCTGGAACTCACAGAGATCCGCCAGCCTCTGCCTCCTGAGTGCTGGGATTAAAGGCGTGTGCTACCACTGCCCAGCTTTTTTAAAGGGTTCTTTCTGTGCAGGCTTCAGTGATGAGGTAGAACCTAATTGTTCAGAGAGTAACATTCTCAGGATTTCTAATCCAAGTGATCAGACAGAAAAATATTTTCTAGTTATTATGTGTAAGATGTTACTATTTTTCTGATGACCATTCTGATACAACTGCTTTTCATGTCAAATATCTACTGTGCCCAAATGTATGATTTAAATCATCATTCTAAATAAATACGACAGATGATTCTTGTAATGGATCACCTTAGATTTCTACTGAATTGTAAATTCTAATGTCAACATGAACTTTTAACAGACATCTCCAAAGCTGCGTTCACTGATTATTATGTTGAGTGAAGTCTAAAGATGAATAGTAATCCTTAAGGTGACACACCTGCCTTCCTTTGTGGGGAAACCTGGACCCACTTAGAGCCAAGGAACATAATGTGGAAAGGGTCAATTTTTACACAATTTGAAATTTTTTATTTTATGTGTATGATTGCTTTACCTGCATGTATATGTGTGCACCACATGCTTGCCTGGTGTCTAAGGAGTCCAGAAGAAGGGATCAAGTCCCCTGGGACTGGAGTTACAGACAGTTGTTAGCTGCCATGTGGGTGCAGAACCCAGGACCTCTAACCCCATGCTTACACAATTTTAAAGAAGTCTCCCAAAGAAGAGTTGGGATATAGCACGGTGAATGTGTTGTGCTTTGCAAAGCCAAGTACCTGGGTTCAACCCCCCTCCAAAAGGAAGTACAATTGAAGGGACCAGCCCCCCATTTCGGCAGCCATGACAGTAACACGTGCTCGTTATGAACTTGTCTTAGTCACTAGAGGTTAGGTGCCTGCCTCGTGACAAGGAACCAATCAGAAGTTAGCTGGTGGTGCTATGCAATGACACACAGAGCATAGCAACCACCCTGGGAGGGCCTATGGGCCATAACAACCAGTTGACCAATCAACACAGGGCAAGCCCTCCAAGCCTGGAGGCACACCAATCGTGAGCCTGTGTGTACCCCTAGACACTCGCCTTACACTGCCCTACAAGATCTCTCAGCAGCCGGTTCAAACTGTCTTTTGTAGCCAGCCGCCATGGTGGGTGGACAAAAGCTAACATGGGGTTAGCTCGTTAAAGCCTCATGCAGTTTGCAGCAAGCTCTCGAATCTGCCTGGTGATTGGGGTGACTGCGGTCATGGCCTGGGACCCCGGATACCTGAGTTTCCCGGGGGTCTAACACAATGAAGTAGTTGCCCTAAAGGTTTTTGTTTTGTTTTTACTGAATCAATCTAAATGCTTGTTCTGCTCTTTCTTGATACTTGGTTCAGCTTGTTATGGGAGAATAGTATTCATTTGAAGTGTTAAAAGGGCATGATAAGCATTTTGCAACAGCCTCTAGTGTTCCTGACTACCTGGCATCTGTGCTTCTGTACAGTTTCTTCCATACTGAGTCAGAGCTGGTGGGCAGACCCAATTAGAAATGGCAGAGGGTGACTGAAAAGATGGCTGCTCTTCCAGAGGTTCTGAGTTCAATTCACAGCTACCACATGGTGGCTCACAATCATCTGTAATGAGATTTGATGCCCTCTTCTGGCCTGCAGGCATACATGCAGGCAGAACACTATATACATAATAAATAAATAAATCTTAGAAAATAAAATAAGAAAAAAAAGGAAATGGTAGAGGGACGTGGGATTTGTGAGTGTAGACTGGAATAGGTATTGCTGCTTTTGCCTTGGTTTTTCAGATTGTTCACTCCGCCGGGATCTGACCGCCATAGGCTGAGAACATTCTAGCATCCCAGTGGGGATTTTCACAGGCAGAGGCTGCCCCAAGGCCTCCTACAATCACCATGCACCAATTTGCAACCTGAGTGAACCACTGTGGAAACCATCTTCCATCCTCAGTCACTGTGGCAAGTGGATAAGAGCCCCATAAGAGGCCCTGAGCTAGAACAATCCAGATAAGCCACTTGTGAAATTCTGAACTGGAAGGGCTATGCAAGGGACTACATGTTACTATTTATTTCACTGAAATTTGGGGGTGGGGATTAGTTTGTTATGCAACAGAGTCACAGAGTGCCAGGTGCCAGCCCCCATTTTGGCAGAAGGCTGGAATGTGACACTTGGTGCTCTGTTGAGGGGAATTTTAAGGAGATAACTCAGAGTTTGGAGGTGTGCTGTCTGCAGGTGAAAGACTTGGGACATCAGTGCCTGTGGCAGCCTAAGAGACAAAGTGGGACAGGACCAGAGGCTGGGGGGCAACTCCTGCCTTGAAATTTTAGAACTACTTTTTAAACAATATTTTTAAGTGTATGTTTGTTTTGCCTACATGTATGTCTGTGTACCACGTGTGTGCCTAGTGTCAGAAGAGGGCATCAGATCCCTTGAAATAGGAGTTATAGATGGTTGTGAGCTGCCATGTGAGTGGTGGGAATTGAACCCAGGTCCTGCAAGGGCAACAAGTGCTCTTAGCTACTGAGTCATCTCTCTGGCCTCAAGACTAACTTCTTTGAAGGCAAAGCTGTACTTGAGTATTTCTCATGAGTTTTACTATGGGGTCATAATTGATTTGTCCAACAGGCTATCAGCAGCAAGACCAAGGAAACCTCAGCAGAAAGGGTTTACACATGTGCTATCTGGTGCCCAGGGATTGAGTGAAGGACAGCAAGTGAGCAGTCAGGGAGGAGAGGCCTCTGTTACTATCAGGAACTCAGGGTAAGAGAAAGCACCTTCAAGCTCGGAGAACACGAAGCCAATAGACAGAGGAAGAACGTCCATGTGTTCAGCAGCCCCTCACAGGGCTCCCAAGGCACTGGAGAACGACTAATGGGAGAATGAGAAGTAAGAGAGGGAAAAGGAGCCACCCCTTTCCTCACTATAGGTTCAAGGCTGAAGAAAGAGACTTAATGCCAGGTTCATAGTTTCAAGTATGAGATGTGACTGGTTGGTTACTTTGATGAAATGAGGTTGTAGAATTAAAAGTGACAGGTGGTTGGGCTGGATAGCTCAACTGGTAAGGGTTGCTATTGTCAAGGCTGACAGCCAGGTTCAATCCTACGGCCCAACATGGTGGAAGGCAAGAACGGATTCCTATGCTGGGCGGTGTTGGCACACACCTTTAATCCCAGCACTCTGGAGGCAGAGGCAGAGGCAGAGGCAGAGGCAGGGGGATCTCTGTGAGTTCCAGGCCAACCTGGTCTGCAGAGTGAGTTCCAGGACAGCTAGGGCTGTTACACAGAAAAACTCGGTCTTGAAAAATCAAAAAAAAAAAAAAGTTATAAGAAATAAAAATGAGGGGCTGGAGAGATGCCTCAGAGGTTAAGAGCACCACTGGCTCAGTATCTCTTCCAGAGATACTGAGTTCCATTCTCAGGAACCACATGGTGGCTCAAAACCATCTGTAATGAGATCTGGTGCCCTTTTCTGGCCTGCAGGCATTCATGCAGACAAAACGCTATGAATAATTAATAAATACATGTTTTAAAAAATAAAAATGGCTGGAAGGAGCTTAGGAAGTGGCTCAGTGATAGAGCGCGTCCTAGCATGTGTAAGTCCCCAGAAGCACTACCAAACAGAAACACACAAATCATTCCGGAAAGCCTATCAGACAAAAGTCATGTGTGTTTGAAATCGCCCATGGCCAGAAGATCAATGCTCTCCAAACAGAGCTTCAGGATAGTGGGGGATGGGAAATGGGAAAGATCCTAACTACAACTGATTCCTGTATAGCACATGGGTTGTAGACATTTCTTTAAAACCCTCCTGGCTTCCGTTGAGATGCTGTCTCAGCACAGCTGGCCTGTGTCCTTCCTTCCTCTTGAGACCATTGAAACATTAGCTTTGTGGAAACGCTGAGGTTTCTTCCTTATTGTTTTGCTGTACATTTCCGTTGGCTTCTCTTTCTCTTCCAGTTCCTGCAAAGTATGTTACTAGGACCAGGAATAGTGTGCGTGCTTGTAACCCACTCTCAGGAGGTAGAGGCAGGAGAATCCAGAGTTGAGGGTCAGCCTTAGCTACAGAGGGAGTTTAAGCTTGGCCTGGGCTATGAGACATGGTCCCCCAAAAGACAACCAAACAGAGATATGTTACCTAGCATAAGTGTTTCTTGCCTATATGTGTGTATATGTACTGTGTACATACCTGATACACACAGAGGCCAGAAGAGGGTCCCTGGAGCTGGAGTTATGGACCATTATAAACAGCCATGTGGGTGCTGGGAACCGAACCTGGGTCCCCTGCAAGTGTAGTAAGTGCTCTTAACTGCTGAGAGCCACCTCTCCAACCCTTTGACTTTTTTTTTTCTTTTAAGAAATGCTTCTAATGTTTTATTAGGCTATGACTTATTTTTATTATGTATTTATTTTGGGATGAGGTCTCACTGTATTGCCCAGGTTGGCCTCAAATTGTACTCAAGACATACTTCTGCCCCAGCATCCTACAAAGCTTGTGACTTCCAGAGTGTGCTGCTAAACTCAGCACATGCTCCTGTTTTTCAATCGTCACTGTAAATACCTGTGGTGGTTTGAAAGAAAATGGCCCCCAAAGGGAGGGGCGCTATTGGGAGGTGTGGCCTTGTTGGAGGAAGTGTGTCACTGTGGAGGCGGGCTTTGAGGTCTCTTTTGCTTAAGCTTCACTCAGTGTCTCAGTCAACTTCCTGCTGTCTGCAAGATGTAGGACTCTCAGCTCCTTCTCCAGCACATCTGTCTGCACACCACCATGTCCCACCATGACGATAATGGACTGAACCTCTAAACTGTAAGTGAGCCACCCCAATTAAATGTTTTCCTTTATAAGAGTTACCATGGTCGGGGCTGGAGAGATGGCTCAGAGCTTAAGAGCATTGACTGTTCTTCCAGAGGACCCAGGGTCAATTCCCAGCACCCACATGGCAGCTCAAGAGCAGTGGGTCATGACCCCTTTGGGGGATTGAATGACCCGTATCCCAGGGGTCACCTAAGACCAGCAGAAAACACAGATATTTACATTATGATTCATAACAGTAGCAAAATTACAGTTATGAAGTAGCAGCCAAAATAATTTTATGGTTGGGATCACTACAACATGAGGACTGCATTAAAGGCTGGCAGCATTAGGAAGCTTGAGAACCACTGCTCTAGAAGATAGGACAGCCATCGTCTGAAAGGGTTTCTGGGCCATGTGATGTTGGGGCTCAGGAAACAATCCCTCAAATGGCTGAGTACTGTCAACTAAGGAAACTGAGGTCAGATATGACGACTCATGCATATAATCCCAGTGTGCTGGAGAC